ATAAATCCTAGAAATGCAGGTGTGCTTTAGTCTCTCCCTGATATGCACAGTCTACCCTCTCTCCCACATGCTTGGCCTGTCAGACCCCTAAACGGCTGAGGTGGAGTGTCATCTTGGATAAAGTTGTCTATGCCATGAATAAAGGCCAGGAACGCATTAAACACGCAAATCCTTTCCCTTTGCAAAGGGAAACCAGGCTTTGTGATAGCTAAAGTGCTCTGCTTTAAAGTGGAAAGGCGTGTTTCTCCCTAGAGTCTTGTTTTTACTTAGCTCTGGCACATTTAGGTGAATATATGATTGCTGCAGCATCTTCCGAAAGGAAGATCATGTCTTCAGTCTTAACTTAAGCTTTTTAAAACTTCCACTTTTCCCAGTTGATATCATGGATCAAGCACATCAACATGTACACACAGATAAAGATGGGCGGATTCTAAACGCCACACGGTTCTGATCTTAAATCACTCCACGCAAGGAAGACCCATTTAAATAATATGCCGAGTTTGAACATTTGATCATTTTGGCTTAAAGATTAATTGGTGTTAGACTCGATCTGTTTCAGGTGCCAGATTTTATCAGGCTAATACCTGGCATCACAAGGCACCCAAAGCAGCTTTTCTCTTGCAAAGCCGACAGCATTGATTATTTGGCCATTACACTTGTTTGCTCTCCTTTTCCCTCCTCTGCACGAGGACAGAGGTGCACTGCCTGGTCAGAGGATGGTTGGCTCCGAGCCCAAACGCTGAGGACAAAGCAGTTACAGAGGAGGTCTATTTTTGGTCTCTTTGCGGACCTGTTCTCATTCTTCTATAGAGCACTTCTCATTGTGTGATGCTCACCTGTCTTTAACCTGATTACAGCAGCTCCTCCTGGACCTGCCCATTGTTTTTAATACAACTCTGAGTGTTTCGATGTTTTAAAAAAAGTTTTTTCCCCCCTCCTTTCTTCAGCCAGCTCTTGGTCTGCTCCACCTGTCATCATTCTCTCCCTCTGGGTACACTCCCTCCTTATGGCCAAGATAGCAGAAGATGAGGAGAAATCATTTCTTTCCCTGACACAGGGCAGATAGATATGCAGGTGCTGTCTGTAACATTTTCCTTTTCACTTTAGATTTTGACAATCCCCGAAACTGAGCGAAACAAAAAGTAAGATGGATAAAGTGAGGTTTTTCTTTTTTAACTTTAAGGCAGAAATGAGAAGTAAGAGTCTAGAGACGTACACTCTGCTCTGGGAGTTTTAGTTTTACTCCTATTCCACTTCTTTTTGCGAGCTCTTTGACCTTGCAATTCCCTCTTATAATGTTATGGTTAATGTCCTTTCTATTGTTTCTTTTTTTTCTCCAGTTTTAGCCTTAAGGGTCCCTTTATTATGTGCTCTGTGTGTCCCTTCGACATAAGAAATGCTCACTTAGAGATCACCATACAAATATCTGTCATACTGTAGATTGTGTGAACTTGCCCTGAAACAATTAATCAGATTAATCGTAATTAATTGATAAATAAAAAAAATAGTCATTTGGTAATCAGTTAATTGTTACCTGTAGTATATAGAAGCTTGACACACGCATCCCACTCAGAGCAGTTATTATGCCTAAATTGTAAAAGATATATAAATGTTTAGCATTTAAGAAGAATATGTTCGTGAATATGCTTTGTCCAGAACTCCTCAGCAAGCTTAGTGTTAGCATCTCCAGGTTTATATTCTGCATAAAGTCTTCTTTAAGGCACCTTTTACTATCTGATGATTAATCTAAATAATTATTTAACGATTAATCAATTGAAAATATAATCATTAGTTTCCAGCCCAAAATAAGAAGTGAAGGAAAAAACTGGTCATACCAGGTATTCAGAAATCTTGTTAATCTCAGTGATTTGTATTCTATATGAAATTTATTATTCACTTTAAAGCACTCATCTTGGACATATTTGATGCCTTTTGCATGACCACTAACTAAATGCAAAAAAAAAGATAAAAAAATGGAAGGAGCCAGAATGGATGGGTTTGTCTGAAGTTGTTATAACTTCCTTCCTTGTATACATTTACTGGCACCACAGCGAAAGGTTATTTTGGTCAGTTAATCTTTTGAATATGAGTCAGCATTTCTTTCATTTCGTATCCTGTTCTGCAGATTCTAACAACCCTCATTAAAGGTATAAATGTGCTGTCCACCTTTATAAAGTTCAAGTTCCTCCACCTGTTCCTCTGGATGCACCTAAGAACCAAGTGTTTCTTGTTACGTTATTGATAAGAGAACTTACAGAGGGGGAAAACAAGCTCCACAGGATTAAAAAAAAAATAAAATTATTTTTATACCGTTTCTGAATGCTGCCCATCCAGAGTGGCGTCCATGATGCTGTAGAAACGAGAGCTCAGCTTTGCACAGTCTGTTGCAAACACACCAAGCAGCACTTAGTGCAGCAGTCACATTTACTGCTTTTTATGAATAATAATTCCTGTTAGCTTTTCTTTATCGTCTGTTTGTTCTAAAAAGGAGTTCAGATGTCATGTTCTAAAAATGTATATGGAGATTTTTTTTATTTTAATGCCAAAGTTCAAGAGAAATTTGCATCTTATTTCTGCATTTTATTTTCTTTGTTTTTGTTTGTTTTCTTTTTATTTTTAACACATCCCAATGCACTCAAAAACCCACATATCCTCACTTATGAGCTTTTCTGCCGGGGTGGACGTATGGATAAATGATTTTTGTTGGCCGTGTAAGGCAGGGGGTAATTTTTAGGTGAATGCAGCACTTCAGAAAAGAGTTGCAGCGCTAAAATTAGAGGTTGTCAAATGCCGCACGTCTCTGCTGATGGCCCAGTTCAGCCCCCTTATGTTAATGTGGCATTTCAGCAAGAGGAAATAACAATTTAGAGGAGGTAGAATTGCTACTGGTGGTTGTTGGGTTGCTCTATCAAATATGATTAAGGTATTTTTTTTTCTGGCCCTTTTAGCCAGGGGACAAAAAGTCTTTACTAGCTATGGTTTTCTTCTCATTGAGCTTTTGGCATCAGCTAATGTGCTAAGCTTAGCTCTTCTGTGCTTTTCCAGTGATGCAGCATGTGTGCACAGCTTTTGTCTGTCTATAAATGTTCTCTTGAAGAAAAACACATGTAATTTTATCATACTCTAATACTGTAGAGATTATTAGCAATTACAGCTCTCAAATTAGGGCATAATGTGGCTTTGTGTCTAGAGTAGAAGTGATATAATCTCGCTTCTGGGTTTGATGCCTGGAGGAAGTCATCTTATAAAAAGACTGAGAATATTTATGGATCCAGCAGAGCTCGGGCCATGAAACCTGAAAGAGTCACTCTGGAACAATACAAATAATGAAATAAGTTCCAGGATCCTTTCTTTTTCTTACAGTAAATTCCAGCTGCTTCATTCCATTGGATAATCAAATGGCTCCTTATATTGCAATTTTCAGAAACTCTAAAAGCGCTTCTTATACTGTGTTGGAAAGTATGAAAAATTATTCCTAATAGATTCGATGGTGGAACGCTGTAGCTTTAAAACAAAAAAAGCTGCAGAACGATAGTAAAACCTTATGCAAGTCTGGCCTACCTCCATTCGTGTTTTGATGGTAACGGACCTTCATCTATAGTTAGCTGCAGTTTAATTTGGAAGTTCCTACAGAGGACGATGCCATTGGCATTACCACCCAACATCCATGCGTCCTTTTCTGAAGCTCATGAAGGTTATTTTTTTTCTAGCCTTTCCTCACTCAAAGCTGTCTCTGTTGATCTGCCTATTGATCCATTTTTTTCCTCAGTTCTTCTTGCGTTTGGACAGTATAATTGTACAGTAATGGCCACTTGGCAAGCGAGGGTGTAACTGGAGTCTTTTGTCTTCTAATGCATGTCATTACTGCTGCTGTCAATCTTCTGTGACATTTTCACACTCATGGACATTTGTGAATATCTGCTTTTCTTCCTCTACTCCTGTGGGAAGGCGTTTTGTCTCACAATAAGCTGATAATGGGGTTTAGAAATGAGCGTGTGTGTGTGTGGAATAGCTAGAGGTCTCTGCTGGCTGTGGTTCTGTCCGAAAAGGTTCAACGGTTGGATCAGAAGTGAAGGCAGGATATACAGAAGCTGATTGTTTGTCTGGTCCTGTTATCTGCCTCTCACTCAGATGGCTGTGGCCAACAGCAGCCTCTGCTGTGGTGGAAGAAAGAAACAATCATTTTGCTGCTAAAAGGAGTTCTGTTATACACCTGTAATACAGATGCACAATATATCAAGTAGAAATCTGTATGTGTAATATTTCAATCACAAAGGACTGCTTGGATGCTATAGGAGGCTGTTATGTTTCAAGTTTATTATCTGTTTGCAGATATGTCACACTGCCCTTCACTCCTCACAAAGGAAAATATTCTTTAGCGATCTTGAATTTACAGATCCAGGGGACTCGTCAAATAATGAAAAATCATTTACTAATCCTTAAGTGCTTCAGAACCACAACCTCCCAGCAGTTTTGGTCCAATTATGCATAGTTCCAGTTTGCTCCATCTATCTTTTTGATAAAAACGAGTTAAAGGTTAAGAGATAATCTTGTTATCCCTTCATTTTCTTTTGGATTCAAAACTCCCATCCCCAGCATCGAATCTGTAGCACTCTTTATTGTTTATGTTGTCCTCACAAAATATTTTTTCTTTAAATCAGCTGATTTGACCTCATGGAAAGCAGGAAATTGTAATTAGTCATGAAAAGTCTTATTTGCTCTAATAATAAAAAAAGAAGATAAGGCAAAATGTCAGTTAAGCGCTCCCACTATTATGTAAATCTACAACAACACTGCAACATTTATATAGTCTTTAACACTTGGACGCTTCAAAATAAAATAATAATAATAAAAAAAAAACATTAGTTTTCTGTTCCTCCTATATACTGCATTAACTTCTTCTTCCTATAGGCCAGAATCGAACTGACAGCATTTCATTTCCTTTTACTAAAATCCTAAAACCATCTTGTTAATCTTTCATTCCTTTATTTGTGTTCCAGAGATCAACAGAGTGCGTAAAGATATGTACAGCGACTCAGTGAACGGCCTTGTGGACAAACACCCGCTGGAGCTGCCTGAACCCATCGGACCCATCGTTCACCTGCAGGAGAAACTGTTTGTGCCTGTCAAAGAGTACCCAGACGTAAGTGGATCAGCACCACACCTTAGTTATTCCTGCTCACAGTTTGAATAGAATACAGATATACTCTATTGCTCTTAAGTGGAAACGTTGAGATGGCACAGCAGTGAAGTGACGGATGAATGGAATAATTCAAATTCGCAAAAGGGTAGAAATGTAAAATAGAGATTATAAGGGGCTGTACAGAAGGGACAAAATTAGAAATACTGGGTTGTTATTAAAAGCAGCACACACAGGTTCAAAGGAATATGCCACAGAGTTTGATAATTAAAGGTTGCTAAAAGCGCTCTCCAGCTCTGCAGCAGCTTCCCTGCATGGGTTTGGAGACTTTTCAAAAATGGTGTTTGTTATTTTTCCCAGAGTTCTTCTGGGTTTTTATTTTTTTCTTCCCCCACCTGTATTGGATCGAAGGAGCATCAGTGGACAGAGCTGGCTTTCCTGATTAGCTTTTCCAGCTGCTTTCTCTCAGCTGTGGATGAGCTGCTGCTCCAATGGCTGATGCCACCACAGAATCAAAAAAAGTCTTCAGTTCAATTTGAAACTTCTTATATTAATCCCAAATGTAAATTAAATAATCCAGGAGTGCACCCAGTGCTCCTAAAGGTCTCAGCAGTAGAGTGTGCTCTGACTCTTCCTGAACACAGCACACAGTCCAATTTATTGTTTAGGTGAACACCCAGCTGATTGCACTCCACAATCTCAATGTCACTGGATCTTCGCAGGTTGTCATTGTGGGGGGTCTTTTTACCTCCCTGTAGAAACATTAAGACAAATGATGCATTGGCTTTTACAACAGAATTACAGTTATTATAATTTCATCAGCTGTATTTATTTACCATCTAGTTTTTTTGGGCAAAAATCTAAGTAAAACACACCCTTAAAGCAGTTGTATTTTGTAAGTAATCATGCTTGTGGTGGAACAGTTCTATTTTTTTTAAGAAAAAGGAGTATAGAAGCGGGTTTCATAGCAGGTCCATTTGCTGAGGTAGAGCAGGTATGCTGCAGTTGGTTTTGAAATGCTGTTATTGGAATCTGACATTGGTTTACAAACAAGGTTATTTTTTTGTATTGTTTTTTTATGATCAGATGATTATTTCCAACATCCCATGAACAAATGAGTTGATTTATCTTACAAATTAGTGTAGCAGCATGTATGGCTGGAGCAGTTCTTTATAAATCTATAAAAAGAAAAATGTGTAGTCACTCCATTAGTTTCTGCATCAACTGAAAAAACAAAAACTGTTTACACCCCTGTAACTAAAATGCATAATATTGGCTAGAGCCGCTCAGTAAATGAAATTGCATTTTTTTGTGTGTGTGTGACAGTAACAGCAGCAATATTGCAATCATTAATGACGTTGAGAAAATGTTTAGTCATATATTTTATTTCCAAAGTTATTCACTTACTGATTTGCACATAAAGTGATGGAGAAACTAAAGCTGATGTGCAAGGATAAAAGGAGGGACGAGTTTCAAAAACATATTTATGATTTGTTGCATCATCCCAATTTTCAGCAATACTATCATAATCACATAATTTCCTTATTAGAGGGTCTTAATATAAACTATATGTTGACAGTTAATTAGCCATATTTGTTTTCTTTCTTGATATGCAAATAAACAGAAATGTTTTCCAGGTTTCCGCGGGTCATTAAAAATCATTCAGTCATTAAATTATAATTTTTTTAATTAAACCCTTAATTGGCATTAAAATGTATTAAATGTGATTATCGTGGCATTTAAAACACTTTATTTTGAATGTTTATAAAAACAATTTCATCAGATATATTATATTGCAATTTATTTGCACTGAACTGCTTCCTGTTGATCGCGTGAATACGAAATTGCAAATTTGAACAAAAGTGGCTGGAAAACGATATATATATATATGTATATATATACATGGTACTTGTTGATGGCATTAAAATTATTTCTAAGAGCTTTAAAAGAGCATTAAAAAGCATTAAATTAGGGTTACTCATTCCTGTATAAACCCTGGTGTTGTCTTGTGCAGCCATTTTCTGGTAAAAGTTTCTAAGTTCGGGATATATTTATATTGCTTGTTGAGGATAGTATATGGAGCAGGTTGTAGACCAGGATGGGTTGAATGTGTTTTCCACCTGACGGGTCTGATAAGATTCAGCTAACCTTAGAACCAACGTCGCTCCTCTCCATCAGGTCATTATATGTTCCTGTTAAATGTCCACAATAAGTTTATATACATGTTTCTAATTTGATTCTTTTAGTTTTACTTAGAAAGGCCACCAGCCACACCTTTAAACATGGAAGTAGTGTGCCGAGCACCGTTTGAACCTGTACTGAAGTCACTGTAGACGAGAGCCAAGAAATAACTGGTTAGATTCTGCCTGCATGTTAACTAAATCACTCCCACATATATGGTGTGATGTGCAGCATCCTTGTATGACCCCTCTGCTAACTCTGCGGGCTGTGCTTGGTGCCGAATTGGGTCGGTAACTCCGTTGTGTTTATGTGCTGTCAAGGAAGCTACTAAATTAATTGGGGTTCCCCATGGTGGCCATGATGACTACAGAAGATTCAGACATACCTGTAGGAGCCTAAAAATGACACGGCACAGATTTCTTACTCCTGTTTTAGTGCCGATGTATCTATATATAAACCAGTCCACCACATGAGATCATTAAGTAGAGAAGGAAGGACCACAGTAAATCCAGGAAGGAGCTGCCAGGAGGCAAACCCAAGGAAATAAATCCTACTTTGTGCAAAACTATGTATGTGTGGTAGAGACGGATAGATGGGGTATATAGTCTTGATATCAGTGATATATTTATTTTTTCCATTCTTTATTTAATCCCGTACGATTTAGAAAGCTACAATGCGATAATGGGTTGATTGTTGACGTCGTCTCATTCTCACACCTAACCTCCCATAGAGAGACAGTTGCATGCTGAGGAGAAAACACAGAAAACTATAAAACTGTGCCTACATGAAATAGGAGAAATCCTGTAGAGAGAAGCATTTTGGATCCCTGCTCATTCCAGACTAAAGAGAAGCTAACCCTTTTTGCAATGAGTCTAAGATCACTTTATCTGTGACTAAAACAAAAGCCTTCTTAGCGATCTGTTTCTCATTTGCTATGTTCTTTCACAGCTCATTTATATTTAGACCTGTGTGACTCTGATTCACCGCTCTCATTAGAACACGTTCATAGTGCCACCTTCTGCTGTCCCCAAAAGTAGGTCAAAGATGAAGTCGAAGATAACCAAGAATTGTCCATGTCTGCATCCCTGCACTGACAAAAACTTTTATATTTTCCAATCCTGTATTCATTTTTATACACGTCTATTGATCTATTTATATACTCAACGACTGATAAAAAAAAAAAAAAAAGTATGTGAGCAATATTATTTATTGATTTGCTATTGAGTGTTACTATATATTAATAGCATTAAAATATTTAATAAATACAGTTGTTTAATTCAGGTAACATCCAAAAAAGTTTCTAAAACAAGCAGTCCAGTTAAAGCTATAGTGCAGGTTCTTATTTTTCCGGGTGGATCCTAAAAATAAGTGGTCCTCCTAATGGTCAATCATTCTGGTGATATGTTTACGTAAAGCCGACCTACGCGCTCGTCCCCCTTATATACTTACTGCAAATCTTCTTTTGGAAAGTAAGCTTGTATGAGCAATACAAACAGTAACTATATATATATATATATATATATATATATATATATATATATATATTAGGGCTGCAACAACGAATCGATAAAATCGATAAAAATCGACTTTTAAAAGCGTTGGCAACAAATTTCATCATCGATTAGTTGTGTCGCGCGATTATTGCGTCATCCGCTGCGCCGTCATCACTGCCTCTTGACTGAAAGAGGAAGAAAAAAAAATACGGCAGAGCGTGTCAGCGCCGCAGGTGCAGTGTTGCCAACTCCGCGACTTTTCAGACCCCTCCAGCGACTATTTTTCAAAAAAGCGACTAGCGACAAATCTGGCGACTTTTTTCGGTGTCACTGGCGGCTTTTGGAGACTCTTACGTGAAAGCATGTATCATTCCTACTCTGCCGTGGGGCGCCTCCCCCACCCCCAACCGCGTTTTCCCGCAGGAGTCCCTCTCAGTCAGAGCCTCAGCGTCCAGACTGCAAATGAAGCGCGCATGCACCGGGATTGACGGCGCAAATTGATCACAATAATTAAAATAGCCTGCGCTTTGTAAAGCGAAAAAAGTGATAACATGCAACTTTTTTCAAAAGAAATTAACATGGCACGGAACCACCATGTTTATTTGGTTTTAAAGTGGGGAAACGTAACGTTAGTTTCTCAGGTAGCTCATCTGATGCTTTCCTTACCTTGTTAGTAGGTTACAGACAGTGATAAGGTTGGCTACTTATTTTACTTTTAATTTCATTTGAATTAGCTTAAGCAGCGTTTACATTTACTTTATAAATAAATTAACTTGCAAATTATGAGGGCAAGACTTTTAAAGTTTAAATCTTCTGGCAAAGATAAAGTAAAGAGGATCCTGCAATTTATAGAAGTAAAGCAGAATAAAATCCAGCAAGATCAGTAATATGTCAATTAATTATATGCCACATTCCCATGTAAGTATCTGTCTTTAGAGGATGTGTTTTTTAGCACCCCTAGTTCTCTCATTTTTATTCCAAATACAATTTATAATTTGAATCACAGGGCTATTTTTATCTCTATGGTTCAGTATTTTCTCAAGTAGCAACTTTAACTGCTATACTTTCCTGTCTTAAAAGGCAGAACTCTTCTAGTCTAAAAAAAACTCATTTGTTGAAATGGGGGGGCCTATTGTTTGAACCCCTTAGAGGCTTTTAAAAACAAAAATGTCTTTTTTTGCGCTTTATGAAACAAAGTACCCTATATTTTGTGGATGTACAGCTACATTTCTCATGTAAGTTTGCGTAGTTTTAACACAAACATTTATTTTTCCTATTGCACCAGTACAGTTAATGAGCAACCTGTACTTGTGTGCTTGTTTGTTCTGT